ATATGGAGTGCTGTCAATAAGCTTTTGTGATGCGATTTAGACGTGCTTGGAGCTGTGCTTGGTATCTCCACGAGCGTCTATGAATGTTCTGAGACAATGAAAGCTTAGTAAATTAGCGTTTCTGCAACCAGCCGCATGATGATGCGTTTCACGGCTAGAGTGGCAAACGAGCATGTATGAAGCAGGGGCATGGATTTTGATAAGCCCGTCTCACGTCATTAAATAAACTGCTAAAAATTGTTGTGCCACCAATCTCCTGCACATACCTTTGTTATTTGGAAAGAAGGCATAGGCTGTCGTGGTGTGAGCCATTTATTTGATGCAATAAACCTCACTATATATAAAAAATGTTCAGTGATTATTTGTAATCAAGTACTTATTTATGTTAATAAAAAGCACACTGGTCAGAGATCTCACGCCTGAGAAGTAAAATACAGCTGACTGTATTTCGTCGGGGACCGAAAAAAAAGTAAGAAACATTCGTTTTTGTCAGAAATATGAACTTTATTGCATCAGGCAGGCTTAAAAATGTCCATGATCCTGCCTTGCCTGATAATGTGCTTGGAAGTAATTTGGTTTGCCCATATTTGTGCCAAGATGACAGCATCACCGTAAATGCTCGACAAAAGCGTCACCGCGGTGGCGATCTCCGCTGCCGACAGCTTCGGGCGATCATCGTCGTGATCATCCGAACCACTCTCCGGCTGCGGCACAACCTAGCGAACAATGTCTTCCTCTGTGGGCTCCGCGCACGAAATGCACGGAAGCTACACACAACATTTTGCGTGCCGCGATTGCCGCACACTATTTCGAATTTTCTGCAGGCAGGCCGCGAACGGCGAATCGCGTTACAATGCATGCGCAGTGGCAGCGACCGCACCGCAAGGGCTCGCGGTAAGCTATTCTAAAACTTCCTAATGTCATTGTGGCAGGCACATTCACTCCACTACTGCGCAGCTCCACCTCCTCCCTGTACGGTGCGATGACGACAGTGCTGACCACTACTGCTAACCGAAGACAAAAAAATGGTCCCGTGCAGAGTTTTCTAAAGAAGACATGGCCTCAGAAACTTGAAATATGACGTTTGCTTTCCAATCTTGAAGGCGGGACAGCCATTTTAAAATTGAGCCCCTAAGCTTAGTCAAGCTGGTAGAAAATCCAACATTGCAGCGTCCATACAGGTTCGTGGCGCGGCTCAAAACAAGCGATTTAAGTCCGCAAAGTTCAACTTTAGGGGGCGAATTCGTCCGTAAAATCGGTCCGCGACTGTATCACACGACATATCTGAGATCACAATTTTTAGGCGTTTTAGAAAGGTTGAAATTTTAAATGCAGTTTTCTCAAGACTGTTGTTTTGGCATTATGCTCAGCCCTTTCATGAGGTTTAGTGAAGAAACGATTTGTCTCTCCTTAAGTATTTGTGGTATTGCCTCAAAATTTTCATGGAAGCACTGCGAGGCCATTCTTAGTGCAGACGTGCCAACCCCACAGTTCTTAAAGTACTACCGGAAATAAATGACAAAAAATACTAAAACCAAGTACAAAAATACTAAAATAACACTTTATTTTCCAAAAACTGGCCTAGATGAATGGAAAACAAAAGAAACATTTCACAAAAGAGGCATAAAAATTTCTCAAGCCTCGGAAGTGGAGGGATGGGCTAGCATAGAGGCCGTGGCAGCTTTGGCCTTCCTCAGAAAGTCCTTGTCAAAGACCTGTTCGTGGCACTTTCCCGAGTGTGACTGGGCACATCTTGCAACAAGCAACTGCTCCACAGTCTTTTTCGACATGGAGGCACGGAACTGGGAGTGCGACTTTTTCACTTTGCTGAAGACACCTTCGCACTTCGCATTACTATGCGGGAGTGTTAGGACCCCCAAGATAAATTTTGAAAGTCTGGCATACTTAAAGCTGCCATTCACTTCTCGTAAAGCGGACACCGCCTGCTATTGCTCATCAATCTGCTGCTCCTTGGAACTTCAGCGGGTAATTCTTCCAACTGAAGGCGCGTGAACTCTGCCTGAATGTCATCCAGAGCAGAATTCACATATTGTCCCTCTTGAAGTGGTAGCAGCACTGGGAAGCGGTTGATTAAGTACTTGACATCAGAAAACCTGGCGTTTTCAATGGACGCAAGCCTTGCTACTTTCTGCACTCTTCAACAGCTCATACTTCAGTAGAAATTTCAGTATCGTGTACTCCATTGCTGCAACAAAGAACCTTCTTATATGTGTAAAAACTCTTCCCTTGCTTCTTTTTTTAGGCCTTCCAGGGTCTGTGTGGTCCACCTACCAATTACAATATCCTCATTATCTCTTTGGCTGATGGAAGATTTGTAGCCAACATCAGCCAACACATCAGCTTTTTGGATCACTGAAGGTTTTACAAAACGCAACATGATCTCCTTTAGCAAGTTACTAAGCACTTCACGCAACAAGTGCACTTGAGGGGCTCCAGACTGCAGGAACACGTCCACCTTTTCAAACTCTGGGATTACAGACAGCAAGAAGTCACAGTATGCTCTATTTGCATCTGATGAAAGAAACATGAATAGTTTTTCTTCTCTGTTCAAGACCTTTCCTGGACGGTTTTGGGTTCGCTTGGAAGCTGTATCCTACACGGGAACATTTGTGTCCAGTCTTGGTCTTTTGCTCTGATGACTGCTCTCCTGCTTCCTTTGGCAGGCTTCTGAAGGTCAGTGCAAAGGTTACATGGCTTGCTGGGAAACTTGGAAACCTGCCCGGAGGGCCTTACTTCACTATGGAAGAAACTAAGCAGGGGCTGTCACTGGTCCACAAGCCGTTTCAGGCTCCTTCCGAGAGAGAGCCACCTGGTGCTGACATGCTTTAAAATTTTCTTGGCCTCTACATCGTAAAGAGACTGAAAAGCTTTCAGCTTGTCCTTCCTTGTTGAGCTTTTCTCGAGGTAGTAGAAAATTTCGACTAGCACCTCATCCACATTCAGTGTAAGGCATGCTGAGCCTTTCTGTGCCGCCAGATTGATCAAATGGCAACAGCAGCCCATAATCGCAATGTTTTCATGGCTTTCTTTCAGTACAGCAGTCACTCCGTTTTTCAATACAATCATGACTGGCGCGTTATCACACACCATGCCGATGCAGTTCTGGAGCGGTATCTTTTTGCTCGTTAGCGTGTCCACAACAAGCGCACCGATGTTTTGTCCCGTGGAGTTACCTTCGAGGGCAGGCATCGCGAGCAAGGCAGTGCGAACAGTACTGTCACAGAACGTCATTATGATTGGACACAGTTTTGCATCAGTTACCGGCGTCATTGCTCCTGTCTGTGGTGACAGAGAAAGGAGCATGCTTCAAGTGACTTATCACTTCGTCGCTAGCTTTATTGGCCATTTCCTTCACAATGGCCGTAGTCTTCGTACGGGCACAGGCGTAGTTCGAGTCCGGAAACATTTTTTGAAAGAGGTCTCTAGCGTGATCAGCAGCAGTGAACGGCACGTTGGGTTCAATCAGGAACAGAGTAAAAAGGCACTCCATTCGAGTTGTAGTATCGAGATCCGCTTTACTGAAGTTTTACTGAAGTACCCTCCAAGCTTACAGTTAGAGCCCACAAATTTCGCAGAGTCTTTGCGTTTCTTCGTATTCACATGTAGTAGAATATCCCGGCGACCAGCGTGCGAAATGTTCACATCACAGCAGCACAAACTACAAAATGCATATCGCTCACCTTTACGCGACCTCTTAATAAATGGAAAGTCAGTCGAATAGCTGGGAATAAAAACTTGAAAGTATTTCTTCTCAGACATCTCGTAAGTTGCTAGGACTGAACCATACGCTACCGCTCCGCAAAAACATGTGCAAAGCACCTCCCACAGCGCGCATGGTAACAAAGAAAGTCGAGCACAATTCCGCTATCCGCGAAGTTAATGCCTTTTGGCTTTGGCTTTGACTCTGGATATAAGCGAATACATTGTTGCCTGCATAACTCCACAAAAAAAAAAGAAGGCCAGATTCAGCTGGTGCAGTTCACCGTTGTAGCACGTTCAGTTTGCGAACTTTTCGACCCAAAACACGAAAAATCGTAAAAATATAGTTGTCATTACGATACTCGTAAAAATGTGCTGGAAATCGGTCACTTTACGATAAAATCGTAAAACTTGGCAAGTCTGCTAGTGTCTGTGCCAATTTTCATCAATATCCAACCAGAAACAAGACAGTTATTTGAAAAAAGACTGTTGAAAACCTTGACAGGCTTTTCTCACGCGTGTGTTTTACAGATGGTGCATTGCTCGTGGGAAGTGTACCACGGGAATGACTGGACTGATTTTGATGTGTTTTTTTTTTTCCTGAATCTCAAAACACTTTTTGAGGGTCTGACAATCTTTGAATTCTTGTTTATGGCCCAGTGTTTTTCATAGAAGGTGCCTTGTACATGACACTGTTTCTGACAATGTGTGTAGGCAGGCACGAATGATCTCTATAGAATAAAAAGGGAAGTGATCAAAAAATTGAGATTTTCATGCCCAACAGCTTTCTTTTGAGTGAAGATCAACACCATTAACAACTTCCTGGCATATTTTGTAACAGCGCTAGGCTTTCCACGGGCAGACCATATAAGTAGAACCACATAGCATGATGTAACTCGAGAACTACTCAAGGTATCATGATGAAACTACATATTTCACTATTCAAGATGAGTATGCATGCCGAACAAAAAAGCTTTCGTCCCTACCTTCCCACTTAAGCTGTTGGCTTGTGCCGAATATGTAACACTTCTGTTAATACTGTACATAAATATTGCTTTAACTCACCGTCGCCTTCTTCGCTTCATCTATCGACTGTGCACAGACGCAGTCGCGAGCTGAGACGAGAGACCAAACACCCCATGAGCCTGGTGGATTAATCAAGCTACAGTAGGCCCACCACATGCTTGTAATGCCTTCCGTTTCTAAACACAGTTTCAATGCAATGTCAGCTTTAGGAGGATGAAACGTTTTTCAAGGTCAAACTCAAAATGGGGCACTACCTTGCAGTGGACTGCGATGGCACCAGGTGTGTTCTCGCTAATTTCGATGAATTCCCGCATGATGGCATCACTCGGAGTCGAGCCGTCTACAAAGAACAGGTCCTTGTGTTCAAACCCTTGGTCGGCGAAACGGCGAGCATCATATATCTTCTTGTTCAGCCGCACCACCGTGCTGACATTGTGCTTGCGGAAGTATGGGAAGTACGTCTCCGGAGAGTGGAACGGGTGGCCTGCGACAGAACGGAAGGACATGCTTACATGACAGTGCTCAAGGAAACACTCAATATAAGAGCATTCAGAGCTTCATTGAAAACCTTCCTGTAATGAATTTTATCATAACAAGATGTCTGACAAAGAAAATATAAAAATAAATGGTATTTGTAGGGCTGGCTCGCTGGAATAAACTTGCAGCAGTGAAAATTGGGGACCCAGAAAAATAGAAGTGCCGCATGCTATAGATTTCAATCACTATGGAAGACAACCCAGAAAGAAGACCGAGGGGGCATCTCCCTCCCCACTATTGCATAGAAGCAAACTGCCATGCTCGACACGCCATGGCATAGGCAGTTGGAAATGTTATCAATACAACTTAATGATCCTTGTTGTAAATGTACAAGCACACCGTACTCTAAACGTGGATGAGAAATATTCAAAATTGGATTTCGATTGCAAAATTAAATTTTATTTTCACTTACACCGATAATGCGGCCACCATGACTGGGATGCGATCCACAACCTGCGGGCCAGCAGCCGAGTATCTTAGCCACTAGACCATAGTGGTGGGTCGCTCTACCATAAATACACAAGTCCAGAGAAAATCTTCACTATTGTGAAGCCCCACTTTTACGTTAAATGAACATATGCTTAACAATTTTTTCAGTTAATCACCATATTATACCAGCTTATATGCTCTAAGTGCAGTAAATTTTAAAACAAAACATATTTTACAGGTTACACATGAACTCTATAGAAACCCGAATTATGCTACTTTTCTAACTCGCTTCGGCTTCCCTTAGAACCAAAAAAAAAATAATGGCATTTAACATACCTTGTAGTACTTAAAAAAAAAAACACGATATTGTGCGGGTTAGTAGAGTCATGACAAATATGCTCATTTTTCTATATATGTGATATATACTATTTGAATTCGATTTGAAACTATTCAGCAAATTCCTACTCTCTTTGAATTTAATATTTACTAGAGTCGACGACTCATTTCTTGAATGCCCGAAAATCCAGACATGCCCAATTTCCCGGACTCATCTCTAGTAGGGTAATGACAAGTATGCTCATTTTCCTAGACATGTGACATATATTATTCGGATTCGATTTGAAATCATTCAGCGAATTCCTACTCTGCTTGAACTTAAAACTTACTAGAGTCGACATACGATTTCTTGAATGCCAAAATTCTGGACATGCCCGATTTGCCAGAATCATCTAAGGTACCGCCGAGTTCTCCATAGAGTCAATGCATTAAAAAGTCCAAAATTTCGGACACGTATAGCCTTTGCAATCCATTTTTTCGTACTTTTTAACGCTAACCACAGGTTCGAAGTCATGGGGGAAGAAAAAGACAGAAAGAGCATTACGTCATGCAGACAGTCTTGACAAGCCAACCTGTTTTGAAGCCAGCCGTGTCCGCCTAACATGTGACCTTTTGCAGTGAGATCACGCAAAGAAAAAGACATGCAGGGACTTTAGGGTGTGGCGCCCAGTAGCTTTTAATCGAAACTTGCTTTTTCGGCGCAGAACAGCTGGCTCACACAAATGGCACCGAGAGCAAGCTCTGACATGTGTTGGGCCGACACAGTGGGCTTCACTTGGCTTCACTCGTGTGACGTAATGCCCCATGCTCTCTTCTTCTTCCTTCATGCTCGAAGTCGCCGTCAATGCCACCATTTTGGTTGTTTTTGTACCCTCGAACCTACCATATTCGCATCGCAGGTGTGGCCAGTGTGACCAGCAGTCCTGCGCCACAGCTGCCGTGCCCTCAAAATCGTAATTGCCGCAATTTAGCGCACACCAATCGTTACCAGCTGCAGCTTAGTCAAACGTGTGGTCAAACATCACTGTGTTCATGTTCTGTGAGCTCTGCAATAAACTGTGTGCTGCTGCACGATATCTTCAGCATTCACGTTTCCCGATTTTCAGCATCCACCGAGTTTCTCACTGTTTCATCAAGTTAATTCGCCATTCACAGCAATGGCGATGACTGCTCCTTTGTTGTCAGCCACACATTCAAAGCGCACAAATCCCCCTTGTAGCCTTACAATGAACAAGAAAGCCCCCATACGAACTACACACTTGACGCCGAGACAGCAGTCTCACCCTGAGTGCACTGCGTGTGTGATGAACTTGTGTCCACGAACGCTCTCTTGAATTATCTGCGCGCTGCTGGCGTTTCGATTCCAGCCGGGAAAATCCTTAAGAGCTGTGCCGCTGCTGACAAAGACCTCGAGCTGTTTGCAGAATTGACTGATAACGAAATCACTCGTCATTACAAAGAATTTCGACTACGATACCGAAGAGGCACCGCCTACACAGCCAACGAGCTCGGAGTTGACGTGACCACTGATGACACTGTCATTCGTGTAGAGCAAGAATGTGACGTTAGCTGAAATTGAGGCAGACATCATTGCAGGCAAGCGGAATGCCGTGCAAAAGAAAGTTTTTTTGAACCAAGTTTTTTTGAACCGAGTTTTTTGAACCAACGTATTGCCCAATGAGGTAGCGCCAGCCACGTCAGATTTTTTCCCTTTTTAATAAACCGCTTTCTTTAGAGCCACCTAAACGATGCATTTGCTGGATTGCAGAGAGACTTGTACTCCTGTCATGACCTTCTCCATTATCGCAAAAAATACCAGTAAAAAAGGTGCATTTTCGCATGCATTCGTTTTTTCGGAGTGTGAATTTCCGGATACTTCTGTGGTACCTTGAGAGTCTGGGAAATCAGACGTCAACTGTATTCGCACAAGCCTAAAAAACACTGGCTTGCACACAAGATACATACCATTTTCAATTTTGCTCTTTGGGTGAGGACCGCAGAAGGCGATGAACTTGTTGGGCACAATCCAGTTGAGGTCGCCATTCTCGACCCGCTCGTAGTACTCGTACTCTTCCACATCAAACGTCTCGAAGTCCAGGAATTTGTGAAGGACCGCCTGCATTCAGGGATCGCATGTTGCTTTTGTGAAACTCCACGGGACAATCCAAGCGTGGCACTAAAAGGTATCGATACATATTTACGAACTTGTAGACCTGGTACCACAAGCATTATACGGGATGACGTAGCAAGTACGAAGCTACGTTCATTTCCTGTTATGGTTGCACTCGAAGCAATGCCAAACCAAACAACACAGCTGTGAGCCACATTTCGAGAACCATGCCAAAGCTAATATTTGTTTCGCCCTGCATGAGCACACATGATAACAAATTCGCCATGTTTTTCAAGCCCGCAATCTTATCTTTCTATGTAAACATAAAACATGACCAACTTCAAATTAAACACATATTTCATTACACTGTAATCGATATTGGTTATTAGAAAATGTACAAACATGAAATCTCAATGATACAAACATGGTTCGTACGAATTTCGAGGTGATACGAATTTTACTGTGGATACAACCTACGCCCATTAGCCTCCAATGTGATGGAGTACAGTTGTTGCGAACAGTTTTTCGCCCCGCGACGTGTAATACAAACTTATGGCAGCGTGCGAGTTTCAAGAGGTGCTGCTTGCGCTGCTACGAAAAACACGTCAACCAAGCACAATAGGAAATACCTTAGTGTGTGCGTTTGCACCACATTGTCAGTTTGTCAGGATCAGCCATAGGCGGCGCGTGGTATTCTCCGAAGTTGTGCACATGAATCTTGGAGACCCTAATGCGTGATAATGCCGCTGGCGTCACTTTACTTAACAACGCATCAAGGTGTGCAGCTGTGCTTGAGGCAGAAATGATATACTTTGTTCACATCGACCTGCAATATCCCGGCCATCAGACGCCCTATGAAAGGTGGACGAGGACTGATAGAGGAAGGAGGCAGTCTTGGAGAAGGAGCTAGGCCTCGCAACATCAACATGCACAACTTTTGGGAACCCGCACACCTTTTTTATTTAAGACATACTGCAGTCCGAAGACCAAGCAGGTGGGCAGGGATTAATTACATAGAAGCATCAATCCACATTGTAAATTGGTACACAATTCTGAAAACAGTCCAACAAGTGTGAAAAAAAAAAAAAGATAGCAGTACACAAAGACCTGCCAGGTCTTCGACTTGCACGGAATACTCAAAATTTTGACAAACCTCCCGATAGTGTGAGCACAGTTATAAAGCTTCCAAAAACATCCTCCGTACCCGCGTGATAAAAAGATAACAAAAAACAGTGGTTCTGAAATTTCCTGGTTTTCGTCTTTCATGTGCAAAGTGCACATGCTACAAGCAACCACACTGAAAAACATGCGGAATTAGCTTTGCACTCTGCACTACTCCCATAGCGTTTCCAGTGTAGCCCGATGCGTATCAACAATCCAGCACGTTGCACTCACCTTTTCGACGGCCCGCAGACAGTTGAGTAAGCTCAGGTTGTATGTGCACGGCCCAAAGGAGGCATCTCTGCGCAAGAGACGGCAAATATCGCAGGGCTGTCACCAAGCTTCCACACAAAGTCATTCTTCCAGTCCCGCTTTTCTGAAACTACTGCCACTTACTAGCAAAAAGCTCAACTTGCATAAGCACGCGACAGAGCAAAATTTACAATGGTGCTGCAGAGTAGCAATGATGGAAAAGACATTGCCAAATATGCAAGTGAAACACTTTACCTTTTATGAATGAACATAGGATCAGAAAGACAACATTGTATATTAGCACAAAGAGCAGTAGGCATAGCATGGGTCATCAGATCTAATCCCAAGCATGAAGCATTTTTTCCGTTTTACACAAACCTGACCAAAAGATTTCAGAGTACCAGTCTCAGCAGCTTCACACGTCTCTGCAACTGCAACACCATTCAAGGCATTCCCACTTTGATCACACAACTGTATCCTGGTGTAAATCTGGTGAAAATATCCAAAAACTTCAGCAACAGAATGCACGAAGTGATAACATATTATGACATTGTGCTAAAAAATGGCTATCAGCAAAAGGTAAAAAAAAGTGATGCAATAAGCGAGCTGCATGTCCACTAGAGATAAACAAGAACTGGTGAGCGAACACGTTTAAAAGTTTGATGAACTGCAGCTTGGCTTTAGCTTCTTTGGGAAACGAAAAAAACACTGGAGGCAGTCGAGCTTTATCAACCACGTGATCGAATTTGGCTTGCCATTTTTCATTTTCTCAAGGCTGCTCAATGTGAACCTCGCAGCTAGACAGCTGCCCTCCTCCTTTTTCCAAACCTGATTTTGGGGAAGCAACTGCCATACCTACAGGGTTCATGCTTGCTTACGTGACAAAAACTGAGAAGTTTTCAAGGACTTCCAAGGCCATGTGTGTGAATTTTCAAGGACAACATTGTCTGTAAGAAATCCACTTAACACATTTTTAGGGAGGATTGAAGCTTGAAATAACTAGAAATAGCATTAAAAATGGGTTGCAACGCCAGAGCAGACATGGAAAACATAGCTCCAATAACATTTTCTTTCTAGACTTTCAATCATAGTTTCTTTAGGTTGCATAGCTAATAGCTTCAAGTATCACAAACGATGCAAACTTTTATTCAGATAGAAAAAACTAAGGAACAGTTGTTATGCCATGCCTTGTTGCTTTTCCTGAATTTTCATATCAATGTCCACTATCTCCCGCTGCTTGATCTTGGCAGCCTTCCTAAGGCTGTTTGACTTGACGATGCACGTCAAGTCGCTAGTAGCCTATGCCTTTTATGCATAACAGTCTGCTGTAGTCGTCAATTCGTTAATGGTGACTTCTACTTTTTTTTTTCTCTTACTATAAGCATTTCAACCTCCCCCTCATCACAACATTTTTTTTTTCAGTTTCTCATCCTCCTGCATTTCTAAAGTTTTAAAAGAATGCAGTGTTGCCTGCCGCAGCGGAGCAGTGGTCATGGTACTCAACAACAGACCGAACAGTTGCAGGTTTGACCCCAGCTGCAGCGGTCGCATCCTGATGGAGGCGACGGAAATAGTAGAGGCCCATGTTGTGTGCAATGCCAGTGGGCATTGAAGAACACCAGATAGTCGAAATTTCCGGAGCCTTCCACTATGGCATCTGCCATAATCGTATCTTGGTTTTGGGACATGAAACATCAGATACAGCTATTAAAAATGCACATGTTGGTTTCTTGCAAAAGCTACTAATGTTCTCAATTAGGCCCTTGAGGTATTGTAAAAAGGGGCCCTTGAGGTATTGATTGATTGATTGATATATGGGGTTTAACGTCCCAAAACCACCATATGATTATGAGAGACGCCGTAGTGGAGGGCTCCGGAAATTTAGACCACCTGGGGTTCTTTAACGTGCACCCAAATCTGAGCACACGGGCCTACAACATTTCCGCCTCTATCGGAAATGCAGCCGCCGCAGCCGGGATTCGAACCCGCGCCCTGCGGGTCAGCAGCCGAGTACCTTAGCCACTAGACCACCGCGGCGGGGCCTTTGAGGTATTATAAATAAATAAATAAAAAATTCTATGATGGGCAGATTACATATGCCACCTGCTACAGTTACGGCATCACAAATAATGCACTTTGAAATACGTGAAAACTAATAAAAATTTGAAGAAAAGAAATTCTGGGATTCTTAAAAATTCGCGAAAATTCCAAAACTTTCAAAGTCTTGAAAACAAACTTTTCAAATTCAATGGATTCTCGATGGTTTCAAGGACCTGCATGAGCCCTGCATCTATGAATGCGCCGCAAGATAACAAAAACACTCATTGATAGCAGCAGTCCTCCTCTACGAAGTTTACATGAGGAATGCAGAACGAAGGAAGTGATCAAGGTGCTCATATGCTGAAGAAACATGTGTGTTCACTCGTCGGCAACAACCTCGCACCATCTGCAACATCGCGTAAACCATTTTCTGCGCTGCTGACACAGCTCAGCCACTAGCATGACCTAGGCTTGGTTTTAAATGGTTGTTAAAGAGAAAAACTTTCTTATCAGTTAATTACTCTGACAATATTGAAATTCGCACGCTTGCTCAAAGAAGGCTTTTGGCGAGAGAGAAAAAAAAACACAAAAAAAAACTACAGGTGGCCATGGCATCTGAAGTTCTTGTACCAGTCGCCATGACATCATACATTCTGACAGAGTCTACTAGGGCTAACCAGTTATTTTCTACGTTTTCAAGTGGAGAAGCACACAGCAGTTGCTCAAAAAATTTAATGGGCTCACCTGAAGGAAATGTACGGCGTAATGATGCCTGCACAGAGGGACTTGTAAGCCTGCTCGGCAGAGCGCTTCAGGAAGATTATCTGCACACGAGAACGAAGGCCTCCCAGTTGTCATAGCAGACACTTCCAGCCTTCATTAACGTGTGTTTTAGATGATTGCAGTCAGGATGTACACAAGCAATTAATAAACTGCACAGCATGCTGTAGGACTGTGCACACTTTTGAAAACTGACATACACAATAACAAAGAAAGATGATGATGGTCATCGTAGATTTTTTTCTTAAAGGCACAAGGAGAACTCAGGCGATAGAGCAACACACAAAGGGCTGCTTGTTGACTAAGTTATAGAGCAGTACTTAAGGTGAGAAAAGAACATGAGGCAAAGAGCCTAAAATATAATTGTGACAACTACGTGCGACAAGCTTAAAAAGAACACTACTTTTGGGCTTTACGAAGTAGCACGGCCTTAGAAACAGTCCTTGTCAAATAAGGAGTGGATGGCGCAGGACACTTGAGCCAGAGATCTCAGCGATTCCCTCAAGATTGCGAGAAGGGCGAGATTAGTGAGCATATGCAACGGAACGCAGGAAACCTACACTAGCACAAGAACTTTGGAGAGAATGAGGGCTGGCAAATACAGAAAGGTGTTATACTACTAGGCTAGAGGATGCGCGTTCAATACCCGACTGAGGCTGCTGCATTTTAATAGGAGTGAAATGCAAAAACACTGTGTTTAGATTTAGGCTACCATTAGAGGATCCCTGAAGGTCGCATTCAATCTAAAACCCTTACCCCTTCTTGTGGGTGAGTGTCACCATAATACTGCGGTTGGGATATGTAAAACTACACAAGTTGTCAGCTGACAAGAAAGAGTGGCCACACTCACCGAATACGAGCCCATCAAAAAGGCCGCGTTGACCCGTTTCTTGGCATCACTGGTTGTGTAGTGAATGATCTTCTTCTGGGCCAGTGCGTATGACTGTAGAAAGGGGCGCATTGTGAAATGAAGATGATTTAGTTATGAGCAACGGGACATCACTCGAGGCATCCACTTCTTAAGGCCTGTAATTCACTTGTGTTCAATCACCGACCAGAACTCTGTTAATGACAAGTTCTAGGAACTTGCATTGGTGTGCCTCAATTTAACAAACATTCACAATAAAATTTTATTGTTTCATTATTACACGCACTGGATCATATTGCGTGGCATTCTACTACAGTCAAGTCGCTTAAAATCGTCTTCATTTTTTAGTAATGATAAGAACACGCAACTTTGTTGCAAGAGTTAAGCTAAGTGCCCAAGTCTTTTAACCTGAAAAAAAAAAAAAAAAAGAATCAATTAGCACTTCGGGATATTTTTCCCTGTATAAACTTCTAAGAGACTGGCTTGAATTCGAAAGTCGTCTTAGATTGAAACTAATGCAAGATCCGCTTGAAGTCCCTGTGACAAATTATGAAGTCCAGTCATACGACTGCAGCTGCAATAGGGTGACCACCAGAGCCACAGCCCCCGAAACTGTCTCGCATCAAGGGCTATATTTATTTTATTTTATTTTACCCTGAGGTGACACAGTGAACTAAAGAGGGGAGGGGCTAATATACATGAATATATCACTCTAATAATATCCAATAAAAAAACAGAATGAGAACTTAACATGGGTTACACAACATAGCACCCATACATAAGCAAACAAGCACGTAGTATGTAGAGTAATAAGTGCAGTAAATATACAAGGCAGCTTACAGTAGATCAACAAAAAGTAAGATTACACGATCACTAAAGTCTACATGAGGAGTCTCAAACATCCAGCTTGTGGGCCACATGCAGTCCTCGCTGCCCCCCCCCCCTCCTTCCCCACACACACATATATTATAAATTTTTTTTTCATGGGCAACACAGACTTGGATGGTCTCAAGCATAATTTTTTTTCTTAGGCACCTATGCGACTGATCACACTAGACTTGTGGACATTACAGAAAAAAGTAATCTACTGCAATTACTTTTCTTTTTATGTAAATATTTAAAATGCTCAAATAAATCCCTGAAAAAGTAACTGCGCATGGCGGTTTGGGCTAGTTGGTATGTCATGACGATTGTTATAGCGTGAGAACAATACGGCGACAAAGGGACTAGAAGACGAGAGCTACGCAATTACAGAAATGTAATCCATTACTTTTGCATTGCTTTCCTACAAAAGGTTATTGCAAAACACAATAACACAGCTTTACTGAACCTACAAAGAACTATGGCTTGTGTGAAGGCGAATAGGCTTATTGCGGTTTTTCACACTGTTAACTTTCAACAGGAGTTTTTTTTTTTTTTTCAAATCTGTCATTGCTTCTTTCATATTTCTCCAACATCAGAAATTCTAAAACAATCTGAAATGTTCCCAGACATTGGACATAGTTTGCACAAAGTAGTGGTTACACATGCAAAGGATAACTTGTATGAAAAATATTAGGGGACCCTTAATATCTGCCTTTAAAGGGGCCCTGAAACACTTTTTCGAGTAGCCATTTACGGATGCACTAAAGAAGCTTATTGCCTCACAAACTTACTGCCGCAAAAAGTTTTGGGAATTCATCGAAAACAAGGGGAGTAAAAAGGTTTGTACCACACCGCAATTGCATTCTCTCTTCCCTCGTCCTAATGAAAGCACTAGAAGCTAAGCAGGGAGAAATGGCGTGGGAAAATAAAAACATCACGCATGTCTTGAGACTTTGAGAACTTTCTCTCCTTTTTTCTTCGAATATGCAGCGTTTCAGTGCAATGACGCATGCCCGAGTGCACAAGTCGCAACTTCCCGCGGGGATCCTTGTAACGAAGGGGCGCGCGATGCTCAAATCATTCATTGGCTGATACAATAGCTTTTACGCAATCATTTTGAATATCCTACGTCGTGTCACGAGAGAAGAGAGAGCGATTTTCAGCCGAGTTTCAAAATTTATTGCCAATTACAGGTCGCAAGTTGTGCTATAATATCTGGCCCGCGTCTTCTGGCAGCTTCGCCTACCAATCGACAGCATTTTCTGAGCCTGCTCGAAAAGTGTTGCAGGGCCCCTTTAAGAGTTGAATGCGATAGCAATATTCTGTCCCCAGTGCGTACTTAAACCATTAAGTGCATACTTTTTATTTTATGATGCCACTCCAGAAGTTTAAATTGTGGATCACAACAATGTAATCGAAGAGTAAAGTGGCCTGTGTCAGTGAAGCTTACGCATATTGTTGCCTTCAGTGTAATGAGCAGCATGGTTTGAACCACAAGCCATTATGAGCGTGCAATGTTTTCGAACTTATTACGCATCCACTGCGCGGCCTTAAGAAAATACACTCAATGATGTAAGGCCAGCTTCAAACCACAAAGTCATAATGATAATCACATATGCTGATGCCCGATCTCAACGTACGCGTTTAGGACGCAGCATTATTGCAATATATCCTATTGTCCTTCACCTGTTTCATTGTGAAGCCTGTATACAAGACATGTATGTTGGTAAAGCATAAACTTTACTTTCACTGCATTTTCATTTTCAAGGATATGCATGGCTGTGCGGTGAAACACCTACTGGCCATGCAAATTGCCTAGGTTCGATCCGCCCTCAGATCTGAAAATTTCTATAATTAACTTTATTTGCATCTTTCTCAATTTTTCGGTTGCATACAAAATGACTAGTTTTTGTCCACAGCTAACGACACCAACGCTGACACCAAAGCCAACATTTCTGCTGAACAAGCTCGGTAACGCTGTCCCACTAAAGTAGAAAGCTCGCAAAGCAGTATCAGGTGAAAATGAAAACTGTGCTCACATTCAGTTTCTTCTGCAATTTGATGTAGTAGCGGTACAGCATGGCCAGATTGAGTGGTCCGAAGTCGGCGTAGAAGCTCTCGTAGACCAGTTCATCGTCAATGGTGAAGAAGTGGTTCTGGCCACTCGAGACTGGCTTCACCGTGCTACGAACCGCGGCAAAGTACAGCCGGTCTGCAAACAAAACGGGTGAGAACAATCGTTACACTAAGCAGTGGGCGGGCCACTCATTTCATATAAAATGAAGCTCATTCATTGTATGAACATATCTGAGTTTTTTACAGGTAACCTTGATAGAAATTGCAACAAAATTTAAACCAGTTGCCTGTGGACCAATTTGCAGAAAAGTTAAATGAGAGGCTTAACCTACACAACAGCGAAGCTAAACAATATTGAATTATGCAAACAAAAGAATGATGATAAAACATCAGTGAATGCAAAGGCATAAAAAAAATTACACAATTTGAAATCCAGAATTCACAGAACTTCTATAATAGAAATATAAAGTGCTATTGGCAATGAGTCTGGTTGAGTTATAAATTACCACCAGTACAAATATTTATGATAACTCAGCAATAACTATAGCAAGGAAAGTATCAGGAATTTTAGTGGTAGTAATCGCAATGTGAATGTGAAGAAAGAAGCATGGACAAGAAGATAAGTTGCCGCTGGCAGAGACCGAACCTGCGACCTTTGAATAGCGTGTCTATTGCTATACCAAAAGTGGCGGTCATCTTTTTGTCCACTTTATAGGGTCTTATTGTGAATTGAAACATGGCAGTGCCTTTATTAGCCATGAGGGCAGGTGTGTAGTCACATAGCTTCTTCTGCCTATTGGCGTCATGTAGCACATGATGCTCTTATTGCTTTTGCTCTTCCCTGTTGCTCCCTACACCACCGTGAAGAATTTCCGCCTGCCTTGACGTTCTAGTTAAGCGTGCACTTAGTTCAATATATACCACAATTCGAGAGAGCCCTAGTTCCCATAAGACTACAACCTGGTACAAGCACACAAGCCAGACCATTTCACAACCACATGATGAACATTACTCAGCTGTCTGCTATCAGAAATTTCCACAAATGCGGATGTTATTTTTACATAGCCACATGATGAAACATATTAGGAAAGGAATAAAATTATAAAATGGTGCACATCTTTGTAGTGTGCAATCAATGTGTTTGGACATCTTAAAGACGTACTGACAAAGGGTACATTTCGTAGAAATCTCTAGCATGATGTCTTCCTAGGTAATGTAGATACAAGGTTTTATTTCCACAAACTTTGTTAAATTTATTCGTAGGCATGTTGGTTGAAGAGTGACGCAAGGTAGAGTGACAAGAAAAAACAAGTAATAGATCTGGCCCTACACGGATCTGATGCTTTCTACTCGCTCTTAATTAGGCCTGCATTGTCTTGCTGTGCAACTATGAATACTTGAGCACACACACAGTGCACAACTTAAGAGAAAATCATTTGTAAGAAAATATTTCTAAATCATAAACAAAAAATAAAGAACTGTCAGCCTGAACAAATGACACATCAGTGAAACAGCTTAAACAATATTTCTGCAGTATAGTAATGAGCTAAGCGCAAAGAGAGAGCTCACATATTGCACCTGCTGGCAGTTCCAAGCAATCTTTAACAACATCTTCATATTATCACAGACAACCTAGCGCACAAGCTGCAAGTTTAGAGCTTGGAACACTAACAAAAACAACAGTAGAGCAAATTCCTTCTCTTCAACTCAGCATAAAGGTGATGCTGGGAGAAACAGGGGGCAATTTCCAGCGCATGCCGTCTTGTTCAAGCGCACCTGTGGTGAGAACAGCTGTGTGAATCATAAATGCCCCAGAATACACTTGAGCAGTTCAGAGTGTTCTACTCCAACGGTGAACACTTTATAAGGAATACATATGCTGGCTCAACATAATTCATTACTGGGCTAGGTGAAGTGTTAGGGTCGACAACGCCTGTTTTAAGCCTTCACTAATCTTGACGAAACTTGCATTCAGGTTGACATATATTCAAAAGCTTGTTTCACACATGCAATCATCTTTCATTACAAGATGCAGATAATAAAGGATGAAGCACTCCATATACCCTTTTGGCAGCAGCCAAACCATACTATGATTACTCAGAAAAACGCTGGAAAACCTTTTTGTTTAATGTAAAACGCTGCTTGCAGGCTTCGCTGCACAAGCAGGATCAAAACCAGGAAAAGAAGAAGTTGCTAGGGGAGTTTTAACCTGTAGCAAAATACCTGCCTCTCCCTCACGCTTCTGCGTTCCCTGGAGTGAGACTGATAGTTGGGCTAGTTGTGAATACATTTTGGGTGGTAACAGTGCACAAACTCATGGGACGAAGAAAAGGGACACAAAGAAGCGGTGTTTTTTCTCTCTCAACTGAAGATTTATTCAAATGTACAAATTATCTGAACACATAAGATACACATACAGAACATGCATAGAGGAGCCAGCGAGGGACCGTGTCAATGTCATTAATAATTTTTGCGTTGCAGGTCACTGCGCAGGCGCGACAAAAATCAATTCAAACAAACATGCTACTGATTAGGATTTCTTCTTTTTCATGTAAAGATATCGATGTTTGACTAACGCAGGACTCCCCTTCTTTTGTCATATAGAATGCTTCAAAATCTCTTGTCACCTGATCACCATGTTTGAAGAGTACTGTCGTGTTATTGAAAAAAGGTGTACACCCACACATGTGGCAGTGCAAAGGCGAAGTTGCGTACGTGCAGGTATTGAAGCTTCCGGAGTGTTCTTTAAACCATACATAGTGTCTGTTTGCCCAAGCGCTTGTTTGTGTCCCTTCTCTTCGTACCGTGAGTTCATGTGCTGTTACCGCCCATAACTTCCTAGAGTGCCAGAAAGCGTATCCTGTACAGTAAACGCTCGTTAATTCGGATTTCATAGGACCGGAAAAAAATGTCCAAATTAACCGAATGCCAAATTATCAAAAGTATCAAGAAAAGCAATAAACAAGTGTTCATTACAGGCTTCTGGGTTCAATCATGGTTTATCTAGTGTTAAGTATACTTCTGGCACATTAAGCAAGATGTACTGATGTGCTCTGCATCCCTCCATTGTTACTGCTACCAAGATGACCACACACTCGTGACAATATCTCTTTCACATGTAGAATGCCAGCATGCAGAATGCAGCTAAAAGTTCATTTTCGAAAATTCCTGCCACGATTCGATTCGTGACACTGCGTGTGTGCGTTGCATCAAGCCAAATGCAGCACCCCACGAGTGACAGATCTGCATGTGGACAGAACTGTGATCACTAGTTCATGAATAAAGCCCCCCGAACAGCGCCGCTTCGCTTGGGCAATCAACAACTGCAGTTTTCGCATTTTTGCGTCATACATTTTCAGTTCTTTGCACCTGGTGTGCAACGTTACTAGAACCAGGTCAGTTTCGGAGCTCCCCGTAGGCGCGCGCTCTCTGAAGTGGCCGTGGTGGCCGACGCGAGAACTAGTGGCGCTGCTGTGCCATTTTGCTTCAAGCCGCGCGCGTCGTCTGCTGCAGCGCGAGTGATTCGCGTTCTCGTCGCAGCTCTCGTCAGCCGTGATAACCGAGATTCACCATTGACACTTGAGCGGTAAACTCAACGATTTCAAAAACGAAAATTTGTAAAACATCTGTTTCATAATCAGCACTAATTGGGAAACTAATTATTATTTACTTCTTTAATTATTTATTTACAAACAGTGCCCGGAACGGTGTTTTCGGGTGGAATCGGCTGTGCCCGAGAAGCTTGTGTTGGGCGCTAGTTCGCAATACATTATAAAAATAGAGTGCGCGAAACACAAGACGCCAGAATAGAAGTACACCGGGCGAGTTGTTAGTATGCGATCGTCCTTCTATATTGGTGGCTCATCTTAAGCATAGTTTATTTTGTAATCAGCTGTGCATCTTCCACGTTCATTCCAGTGTTCGTCGGCCTGCAAAATTTCCCAGCCAAATGTCCACTGCGCTATAATGAAAACACTTTTTAGAAATACAGTTTGCTCAAGGTGGCATTATTTTATATTGTGTAGTTATCAGCCATCTTTCTCGCGAGAGAATTCTCTCATGAGGGCATCAAAAAATTGTAGTTATCATGCCAACCCTCGTGCGAAAGATGGCTAAAGTATTAGCCATCTTTCTCGAAAAATTTTGCTGGGTTATTGCCGAACACTCGTTACACTAGTGATGTCATAAATGAAAGCCTTAGCAAATGAGGAAGCTCAGCAAGGGTATTTTCGATTCTCTCATTCGAAACTGCGGAAAGCCTTCGCTCAAGAGCCAGGATCTCCTTATGTTTCTTCCTTTTTGAGGCAGCCGCACAGGCAAACCTCTTCGAGAGGTTGCGGACCTTTTGCTTTCTGGTTTTCACAACCTTTGAAGGCTTTCTGGCTAGAAGTGGACTCCGTAAGACAGGCAGAGAAAGCTAGTAGGCCGCTTTGTAAACACTGTACAGTGTTAACGATGAACACTAATAATTGTGGGCACAATCTAGAGCTACCACCTCGTTCCACAATAACAGTTTTTTGTAGTAGCAGCTCTTGGTGCAAGATTTCTGCAGTAGAAAAACACCGCACGTCATCCCTGACACGGCATCATCGATTAATTTTTGGCTCCTGCACGCGGAAGGCAACGAGAAGTTCATCGCTTCATTGAGCGCGAACGGTGTAGCTGATGAGACGTCTGATCTGCCCGGAGATGCGTCGTCGCTAAAATCACTCGACCGACTCCATGACCATGACTCCCCTATTTCGTTTTCTGGCATGAGCTCATCCCTAGCACGTGTGTGTGTGCGTGTATGCGTGTGCGTGTGACCTCCTTGTTCTTGTAGTCACATGTGCCTTCGATATGCACTTTGGCAGACCGGGAAAAAAGCGAGGTAATGTCTTTGGCACTAGCGCCCATTTTCCTCGAGGTGGAAGTATTTCATTTCCCATTTATAATGTACTAATGGTATTTGACATTATCGTCCGCCTCAAAATGTCACTCACATATAGCGGTCTTGTGAGTCAGCCGCCCATCCTTGCGGCACAGCATCTGTGCCCATTTTTAACGCGACAGCCTTAAAGAGTTCATTTCAGAAATTCTCGCGTCGACGTCGGTTTCGTTGGTTGCGAGCGAAAAATAATCATTTTGGGCGCGACT